AAAAAAAAAAAAAATTTCTTATTATAGAATCTGAGGAGGAGGCTAACAAAGAGAACAGCTCAGACAATAAGTCAATGGAGCCAGACATCCAGATTCTAGAATCAGTAGAAACAAAAAATGATGAATCCACCAAAAATTCAGAAATCTCCCCACATCAAAACTCCACCTTGGAGACTCAAGAACTCGGTCTAGATCCAAGTTTTTTGGAGATGCTAGGAGAAGAAATCCCCTCAACAGATTCTTCAATAAAAATTGATGAAGGTGTTAAAAAATGGTGGAAGATCTGGATGTCCAAAGGACTATCAGAAGATAACAGGAAAGAACTTCTGAAGAAATATCCTCGAAATGGAGATTTTTCAACAGAAGCCCCACAAGTCAATCTCCCGATTCAACGTCACATGTCAGAAATTGCCATAAAACGTGACAAACACTTCATTGACACGCAAAATTGCGTGGGAACAGCGATCATAACTCTAAGTGCAGCTATATCCATGGGAATGAACAACGCTGAAGACATTGACTATGCTCAACTGATGAAGTATCTATGGGATACAGGCAAATTGCTGTGCGACACATATCACCAGCAATCCATAGCCAGAAAATCGTTCATCACTCCCATCCTTGACAAGGAAATCAAACCAACACTGGATGCTAGCATCTCTGACAAATGGCTCTACGGAGAAAATTTGACTGATCAAGTCAAAGACGTCAAAGAGATTGAAAAAGCATCTGCCTCACTGAAACCTCCCCCAAAACCCCCTCTCAAAAAATTTATCCCAAAAAATATTAATCAGGGAAACTTGGGAGGCCCACCTACGGGATACAGTCAGGTGGGCTACTACCAGACGAAGAAATTCACCAATGTGAAGTACAGACCGAGACTAGCAATGACACGTCCCCCATCGAAATACAACTCCGAGAAGACCAGACCAGCAGCACGAACATCCAAAAAATAAATGAGGTAACCCCTCTTGCTGGTAGGCTTCGTTTTTTCACCAAAAAATGGAAGGACATAACCAATGACAGGATAATCCTTCAATGGTTAGAGGGATATGAAATAACATTTAAAAAACAACCCATGCAGATCGATAATAAAACAGAACCCACATGGTCAACTTCTGAAATTAAAATTCTTGAAAAAGAAATACAATCTTTACTCGCTAAAAAAGCGATAGAAGAGTGTCAAGACATCGAGGGTCAATTCATATCACCTTACTTTCTAGTCCCCAAACCAAATGGATCATATCGGTTTATTATTAACTTGAAAAAACTTAATAAATTTATCGACACTGACCATTTTAAAATGGAAGATCTACGAGCAGTAAAAAATCTTGTTTCTGTTGACGATTATCTTTTCACGATAGATTTAAAAGACGCGTATTTCCTTGTACCTATCGGTGAAAATAGTAAAAAA